GTGAAGATTTAGTCGCATATGTGAGTGATTTACTCGCAATGTAGAGGGTTGTATTGAAATGTTAACCTAATGCTGCGTTCCAGACTCGGATATAATAACAATAATACAATATTATATTATATTATAGTGTATATTATTATACTTTACATAATAATATATAATATACTTATATATATATATAGAGAGAGAGAGAGAGAGAGAGAGAGAGATGTTTTTTCTGGGTCCAATACATGACTGGTTTTCGTGCACATCAGCAAGTCATTGATCAGTCATTTAATTTAGGCGTGTATTTCTATTTTTTTTATTATTTCATTTATAAATTAATAATTAAAAAAAGAGTAACAAAGTGTACAATAAAGTACAATCAAATCCTTATATTATAATCACATTGCACTTGAATAAAGTTCAAGGTGTAATCTCCCGATTGTCCTGCAGGTGACGGCAGCTGAGACGGCCGAGAGAGCGAAATAAATCTGTCTTCTTACGATGCACTTAAGGCTTTACGATTACTCCAGAGCATTCGTAGATCTACGATGATTTTCAAGTGCTACTTAAGTTACGATGATTTTGGGAAACAGACCGTAATATTAAGATCAGTCGTGCGATCGTTTTTACGAACTTCTTAGGCTTACGAAGCTTTTGGGAAACGCAGCCCTGATTAGGCTGATATTAAAAGCAGATCATTTCAGATTTTTTTGTTTTGTTTTGTTTTTTAAATCAAACTAAAATAATTATAACCAACTAATTACAAGTTTTAAATGAAACTAAACCCTCTTTTTCTGTCCCAGACTTCAAAAGTATTAGTTATTCATGTTTTCAGCTATAAATGTAGCTTTGTTACAGCTGGTTTAACTCAATTTACTTTAAATAAACTCACAAACACCAAAATTTAAATGTGCATTTGAGCTTCAGAGGCAGGAACAATTATTATATTTTGATGAAAAATTGTAAAGACAAACATCTTTCTCTTTGGAATAACTAAAGAGTAATATAATGTTATTTAATTTAATTAAAATTTGCTGAAATTAATTTTGTACATGAAAACCTTGACATTTCAATCTGACAGAAAGTCGAAGGGGAGGGGCTTAAAAATATGGCCTTGATGATGTCAGCAGAAATGCAAAGTCGTTTCAGAGGAAGGAACAATTGTTATATTTTGATGAAAGATTATGAAGATTTTGGAATAACTTGAAGAAAGATTAAGGAAGTGAACTGGCTTCATTGTGATTTCATGATGACGCGAAAAACAGGATAGATATAGAACACAAAAAACATCCATTGTTGGTGCCGTTCAAAATCTCTATATCGTGCATCTCTGCAAAGTGTCCTGGTGAAGGAGGGAAGGTTATTTACTGGTTTTAGACAGTTTCCCGGTGCTCTTGCTGCTGGCTGTACTGTCTCCTCGGATCAGCAGGCTGATGCCGCTGAAGCTGCTGGCTTTGGTCATGGCGGGCTTCAGGTTCCTGTGGGAGCTGTCTGAATCTGTGCTGCTCCAGGGCCGAGGGTCCGAATACTTCAGCTCGTTCTCAGAGCTGCTCTGACGACTGCTTCCCGAGTGCCCGTCTCTCAATCTGGGGGGGAACAAGAATTTAAACAAGCAGGGCTAAAAAGTTTACTCGAAAGTGCAAATCTCTGGCTCATAAATGGCATGCAATTAAGCTAATAAACCAAGCACACTAAAATCTACCTGAATATCTGTCGTCTTTGCTGAGTGTTAATGAAAGTCACGTCCTCTTGGATTCTAGAGGGAATTTAAACATTATGATCATTATAAGATACATAAGACAACAGACAAACAAGAAAGCAATAAAGAAGCTCCCATAGATAATTTGCTAGCAATGCCATGTCTTTTTTTTTTTTTTACCTTTTATCAAACGGGAAATGTTCTTGTCCCTGCAGACAAAAATAGAAACACATTTTAAAAAATAAATACCAAAAAAAAGGGGAAATACAGATAAAAAAGTATCTATCTATCTGTGTGCTACTTTTGAAACATAACATGAAATTTTCTAGCTAAATATTGTAGCTAAATTGTAATGAACTAAATCATTTATTAATTACGCTCAAATGAACTATTACATATAATAAACATTTATATATATATATAAAAAAGTTGTGGTTTATTCTAATAATAAGCATTCTATTTATATCTATTACATTTATAATAATATACATTTAACAAAAAATATCGTAAACAAAAATGGTACTTTTGAAACATAAGATGAAATTTTCCAGTTTTTTCTAAACTGCAAAAAAAAAATTGGAAAAAAATAATGAACTAAACCATTTTTTTTTGTAAAGTGAAAAAAGTGAAAAAAAATTATTAAATAATAAATAATTTATTAATTATGCTTAAATTAAGTTGGAAATTATAAACGTTTACACAATTAAATTTTTTTTAAATAAACATTCTACATTATTTTAATAATAAATATTACACATATATTCATTATTAGTGTTATTTATTACTTATTCTAGTAAAAACAAACACCAATAATAAATGTCATTATTAAATAATAGGTTCATTGTAAGATGTGTTGTATCTTGGTAAGGAGACGCACGTCTTGGGCGAAGATCCTGTCTCTGGCACGCTGGTACTCCTCCTCTCGCTCCTCTATAGACTTACTCCGTCTGTCGTCCTTAAGACGCATCCGCAGCTAAAACACACACACACACACACACACACACACACACTCTCTTTGTCTTCCTGACTGCTGTATTGCACCATTTATTATACATATTATATTTATTTGTTGGTCGTTGGATTATTTCAAGGAGAATTTGTAAGTACTATATATTTTTAGCTTATTTAAGATAAGTATATATTTCTCACCCTGCCATCATCCTGGTCCAGGCTGGAGTTATCTCTCTTTAAGATGTACCTCTTTTGGAAATCATCTGTTTTATCATCTTTAATGTGTTCAGAAAACTTCTGATCTGGTCTGTAAGGGAAAGAAGTGGTTACATTAAAAAAAATTCACACTTCTGACAAATGAGGATAGTTGAAATCCACACGTACATTCTAGTATTGCTGGTTTTGTTGATAATGACTGATTTCCCGGTCTGATCGACATTATGGTCCAGCCCAAAATACGCCGCCACCCTGTGAAGGAGCATCCTGTGGTATGATGTCATCGGGGGGAACTTCCGCTTCTGACTTCTGTGACCAAAAAAAAAAAGAGTTACCTACATAAGCTCATTTAAAGATGATAATATAAATAAATGTATATATTATAAAGCTGTATTAATAACAGCTTTTTCATAATGGCTGATATCTAAAAAGCAGTGTGTAAAGAGAAATTTAACGCTGACATATATAGACAAAAATAAATTAAATCACTAAAATTAAAATCATATTTTACATAATTTTTTTTTTTTTTAATAACTAGCCTGGCTGATAAAGCAAGCCAAAACCGATATGCATGAAAATTAAACAAAGAAAGAAAAAAAAAAAAGTATTTTTTTTTAACCAATAATATGTATAAATAAATAACAGGCTAATATACGTTTAATAAATTAAAATTATTTACCTCTGTAAAAAATAAAAAAATAAATATGATAATATAATATTTGTATTTATAAAATAAAATATTTTATATTTATATTTATGTACATTAATGTCCAATATATAAAAAGGAGGGTGTAACGAGTGATATATTGATATATAAATATTATTTAATTGCTAAAATGAAATGAATTAATATTTTACATAAAATTCTCTACCTTCACTCAATAATATTTTTCCATGAACCATATTTAATGAAAATCTCAAAAAGGTCAAATACTGAAATAGAAGTCATTTTTAATAATCAGCCTAGCTGCTATTATATCAATCTAAAACTGACAAGCATGAAAAAAAAAAAAATATATATAAAATAATAATGATATGTATAATAACGCTTGCATATTACTATATATGCATTATTACACACACACACACACACATGCATATTATGTATATATATATAAAAATTACACATGAACTTACTTTCCAAATATAATATTCAAATACACAAACAATATATTTATATATATATACATAAAAGAAATTATGTCAATTTAAACTGTTCTTCAGTTTTTTTGGCTCAACTTACTCGATGTTGCTAATGAAGTCCAGAATATCTTGCTCGAGTTTCAGCAGCATCATTCTGTCTCTGTAAGAACAGCGTTCATTAGCGTTTATCACAGCTCATCAACCTGATGAGAATCCAGCGCACAAGTGCTAGAATATTCAAATGTGTGCCTACAAGCCTCGCATCCATCCACATTACCAACTGATAAGAGCTGCAAGACATGTCGAAAACAGGACTTCTCTTATACGTTTAATTAAAATATTAAAGTTATTAAGAAACATTATATATTAAAAATATAAAAATATATTGTAAATATGAAATGGTCAAAAAAACCTTAAGGGAAAAAAATTAAATGTATATGTCCCTATTTATAGTAACCCAAGTATACATTTTAAATGGGATTTTGGGAAGGAGCTCAATGAAGCGACAGGAAGTAGCAGTGGTGCTCGTGTGAGGGTGTGATAATGAGACGGCAGGGGGATTTTCACACACCGGGGGTTGTTCTTCAGCGTGTTGACCAGAAACTCGTGGAGGTTTACTCCTGTGGAGTCGGTGTAGTCCTGACTGGGATCTGAGAGAGAGAGATGGAGAGAGATTCATCACACACATTCTGTTGCATCCATCTGGCCTGTGAGAAAACACCTCCTCTGCCAAAAAAACAAAGACACACAAACACACACACCTCTTGAGAGGGTCTTCTTGGACAGTGGGTCTGTTTTCTCTGGCTTTTCTGAGATTTTCTCACTGTCCTCATTTTTGATGGACGTTTCGTCTTTTTCGAAAGACTGACTGAGCTCGATATGAATCTTTTCCTGTTAAAAACGAACAAACAAATATTAGAACACACACTTAGAAATAATAAAATATAAAAGTGCAAAGAGGGTTTCCATTAAAACAAGATATATTTGAAAAACATTCAGAAAGAATTAAGAACATTTATACATTTCCCGTCTCAAAAAAACAACAACACTTTTTTTGATGATTAAAAGACAAACAATAGCTCTTTTTTGTCATTATGAAGTGAGAAAGGTAATTTAAAGTTAATTATGATCTCTTTCCCTTAGCTGCATCTAGTCAGAGTTTGAATAAAAAATTTTGTGAAGAGAATTAGCAGGAGACTTTGTAATCATCTGAAAGTAATAAAGACTTGCCTTTTCTCACATAACAATCACCAACAAAGAAAAGAAGTTCAATATAAACCCCAAACTATCAACTAAAAACTATTAAAGCTAAATCACTAAATGTTCCATAATGCTCTGCAAAAACATCAAGAAGAAGAAAAAAAAACAATCATAGTTTGAATTTTAGATTTGTAATTGATCAAAGTACTGAGCAGGAGACTTTGTAATCATCTCAAGTAATAAAGACTTGCCTTTTTTCACATAACAATCACCAACAAAGAAAAGAAGTTCAATATAAACCCCAAACTATCAACTAAAAACTATTAAAGCTAAATCACTAAATGTTCCATAATGCTCTGCAAAAACATCAAGAAGAAGAAAAAAAAACAATCATAGTTTGAATTTTAGATTTGTAATTGATCAAAGTACTGGACATAAAAATTTTTTTTTTTTAAATCACAAAAAAAAAATCTAATAAAAATTCACAAACTTTTTAAAAGACATTAGTAATAGACCAATATATTAGACATTAATAAATCAAATTAATAATTAAATGAATCGTTTTAGCTTTAGATTAGTGATAGGCCAAACTAACTGATATTTTAGCTAAGCACATAATAATAATAATAATAATAATAATAATACAAATTACAACGGTAATACTAATAAATAGTTTTCGTTTTTTATTAGTGATAGACTGATATATCAACTGATATTTGGTCAAAAGTCACAAATTCCATATAATAATAATAATAAAAAAATCACTCACTCACTCACACACTCACACACTCACTCACACACGCACTCACACACACGCACTCACACACACGCACTCACACACACACACACACACTCACACACTCACACACTCCTTTGTTCAAATGCAAAAACTTCATTAAAATGTAAAAAAAAAAAAAAATGTGAAATGAAATAAAAGCATATAAACAATAAATAAAAAAAGTGATGATATATTGGCCAGGGTCATTTTGAGAATAAAACCACTGACGGATAATCATTCACACTTTGTGAACAATTTACACAAATTGATTTTGCTCATATTTCATAAATGATGCTCATTGTAATCATACTGTAAAGTGTTTTAAATTGACCCCCTAACAGTCACAAACTACCTTGGATAGTGAAAGTATGAGCAGTAAGTTTATTATAGGAAATATATTCCATTCAGGTGCGAGGCTTTCGGGTTTTGAGGGTATTTGGCCGTTTCGACTTCACAAGAATTGATATTTCATGAATGGGATTTACAAAGTCCCTTGAGGAGAAACACGAAGGATTGTGGAGGTTATGAGATCATTCTGCCCTTCTGTGAGCTTTGGACTCGATCCTGCCATGATCCTTCACTCTGATGCCAAAACTCGGCTTTATTTCAAACAGAGAGCGAGAAGATCCAGCCAAGGGAACAGCAGTGGCTTTAAAGGGATAGTTCACCCAAAAATTTGAATTCTGTCATCATTTATTGACCCTTTTTTGATCCCAAACCTTCTGACTGACTGACGTCTGTAAAGCAGAAAAGCAGACGTTTAGAAGAATGTTCACGCTGCTCTTTTCCATACAATGGAAGTGAATGGGAACCAGGGCTGTTAAGCTCCTAAAATGACCTAAAGCATCATAAAAACAGTAAAAATTATTATATAAATTAAATTTACTATGTTTATGGCTATTTAAAGCTCATTCTTAATGTTGAATGTACAGGAAAAGAGAGGCAAATCATTCAAGTTTGAAACCCGTTTAGTTTTGCACATAGTAAACGATGACTGGTTTCATTTCTGGAAGCTCTTATGCGCCATGATCCTTCACTCTGATGCCAAAACTCGGCTTTATTTCAAACAGAGAGCGAGAAGATCCAGCCAAGGGAACAGCAGTGGCTTTAAAGGGATAGTTCACCCAAAAATTTGAATTCTGTCATCATTTATTGACCCTTTTTTGATCCCAAACCTTCTGACTGACTGACGTCTGTAAAGCAGAAAAGCAGACGTTTAGAAGAATGTTCACGCTGCTCTTTTCCATACAATGGAAGTGAATGGGAACCAGGGCTGTTAAGCTTCTAAAATGACCTAAAGCATCATAAAAACAGTAAAAATTATTATATAAATTAAATTTACTATGTTTATGGCTACTTAAAGCTCATTCTTAATGTTGAATGTACAGGAAAAGAGAGGCAAATCATTCAAGTTTGAAACCCGTTTAGTTTTGCACATAGTAAACGATGACTGGTTTCATTTCTGGAAGCTCTTATGCTTGTTATAATTCATTAGCCACTGTTTGTCATTCTCTGGCTTTCACTTCACTCCTCTAAAGAAGAAAGAGCGGCCTGAATTAACTGTGGAGCTCCTGAATGAGGACAAAAATGTCATGCTACACGAGGGACGGCGAGAGAGAAGACGAATGGACAGATCGTGAATGAGAAGGTTGTGAAAGAGCGAAGGGAGGGAAAGGTACGGAGAGATGAGAAAGGTCTATGAATAGAGACCCTCTTTCCTCGGGGAGGAAGTCTCGTTCACTCGTTCAAGGACGTACACTTGATTAAGGACGTTTCTTCGTCTTTCAGACGGTTCGTCCACAAAGACCTTGAATCCTTTTCTTCCTCACCTGCTCTTGCACTGCATGACTTCCGATTAAGAAAAGAAGCCAATCGTTTCATTTTTATTTAAAAACGTCTTTAAAAAGCAAGGTTGTTCAAAGGAAATCAACACTGTCTGTTGTCTGACTCTCAAATATGACATAGTCAAGTACTGACATATTTATAAAAAAAAAAGTGAAAACTACAATGCAAGTCAACAATAACCAGCACGACCCGCACATGAAATGTGTTTTGTTTTCTTCACAAATGCTACATCACCAATTATGATTTAAAAAAAGAAAACAACCTTTGCTTTTGAAAAACATAATTATGAAAATTCATAAATATGATGAATATACATAATCTGCATAGTTTTTTTGTTTATTTTAAGTGTTATAAAAGACAAATATAGATAAATAAATACATGTTATCTAAAAAAAATTATGAAAATATATAAATGTACATAGTTATCATTTCTTTATAGATTTATTAAGTGTAATAAATCAATTACACAGATATAGATAAAATATATACAAGTTAGTACTATATTATATTATTTTTATATATTATACAAAATTTATTTGGTGTTTTCATAAACAAATATAAATACATAATTAAAATAAATATAATATAAAACTATAAAATATATAGATGAATATTATAGATTTTAGATATCAGAACATTATAGAATTTTATAGATTAATTTCTTATATATATATATATATATATATGTATTAAATAAGTAGTCTTACAAAATAAAAAGGCAAGGTAAGGAGAATTTCCATAATGTGCATATATATTTTCACAAATATTTGAAATATATAAAAAATATTTTAAAATTCAGTGTTGAAACCTAAAGTACTGATGTAACATTGTGGGAAAAAAAAAGAATAGTGACATATCAATACGCGACTGTATTGCACAACCCTTTTTACGAAACACATATTTTCGCAAATCACCATCAATAATAACCTCCCTACGAAATAACCAAACGCACAAAAACTCTAGGCTTCCTAATAGCGGCTCTGAGCTGCAGACTAACCTAATAAATAGAACAAAAATGGGCTTTGGATAAGAACAGGCAATTATAGCAATCCACTGCGCTCGGCAGCTGAGACAGGAAAATTGTATTTGGTATAGATGATGGATGAATGCAATCCTGCGCTGGGGACACGCGTGCACACTAGCACCTTCAATAAACGCACAGCTCTATTAAACGCACATGCGCACACAATCGATTCCAAACACACACGCAAGCGTCTTTATAACTAAGAGCAGCGCTGATGTTTTGACAGCGTTATTATTGAGGACTGCAAGGACAAAGGTTAATCGGTTTGATCATACACCGCGTGTTTTACAGTATGTACTGCATACAGTTTGGAATCATTCATATTTTTATGTTTTTGAAAAAAGTCTCTTATGTACACCAAGGCTGCATTTATTGGATTAAAAATACAGTAATATTGTGAAATATTTTTACAATTTAAAGTATGTTTTCTATTTGAATATGTTTTAAAATAGAATTTATTTCTGTGATGCAAAGCTGAATTTTCAGCATCATTACTACCTCCCGTCTTCAGTGTCACATGATCCTTCAGAAATCATTCTAATATGATTTGCTGCTCAATTATTATTGGTAAATTTTTTTTAATTTTTTTATGGAAATCGTACATTTTCCCTTGATGAACAAAGTTCAAAAGAACAGCATTTATTTGTAAAAGAAATCTTTTGTAACACTAAGTGAGCTGTTGTTAATCTGAAAAAAGGGAGGAAATTTTGATTAAATTTTAAACATTATTAAATGTTTTTGTTAAAGTATGATATGGTTAAAAATAAAAGACAATTAATTTTATATATAAAAAATAATTAAAACGTTTTAAATTAAATTATTTAAATGAATAAATTACAAATGTAATGTAAAAATCAGTAAATTAAATAGTATTATATATTAACTATAATAAATTAATAAATGCTAAATGGTTAAAAAATAAAAGACAATTACATTTATATATATTTATATAAAATATATTCAAACAGAAAAAAGTTAGTTAGATTTGTAATAATATTTCACAATATTACTGTTTTTACTGTATTTTTAATCAAAAGAATGCAGCCTTGGAGAGATTTCTTTCAAAAACATTAAGAAAACCACAAATGTACTATTTTTATTTTAAACAGTTTGTGAATTAGCAAGTAAACTAAGTCACATAAGCTAAAAAGTAAATAGAATGCTAGTCTGTACACACACCCACACACACATTTACCTGTTCATGCGTCAGTTCTCGGAGCGGAGGCGGAGACGGCTCCTCACAAACCGCCAAGCTGCGGACTAACTTTAACTTGCCGTTGGACTGGAGGAGAGTAACCATGGTTACCAAAATGTCTGGCACTCATTCGCAAAAGAACGTCCAACAACGCAACTAAAAATACACAAGCACCATTTTGCAACGTCTCAGGAGACTTTTCAGAGCTCAGGGAGGGGTTTGTGATTAGATCGTTAATTAGAAGCGTGTTTATTAAAACGGACGCTTACATAAAGATCTGACAGCCCTGAAAGTCTGAAAATCTCAAAGTACGAACACACAAAACAAACCAAAAACCAGCAGTTTGACAGTTTTTCATATGTGAATTATTATTTTTAGAAATGATAATAAACACAAGAGATGATTTCTTGCAAGCAATGTCTAAACAACTAAAAACAACACACGCACTCAACATAATCACAAAAACAGTTCGGCTGTTTAAAATGCACTGATGAAACGGCATCAAGAGCAGAGCAGAATTCGCCACTGTAGGTGGGAAAATCTCTGGAGGAGGCGCTCGGGTCTTACAAACCCCCGGCATCTCGGTACATGCTGCAAAAGTGCTAAACGCAGCATCCCCCCAAAGCACATTTATTATTCTTTACTGACTCGAGCAGGGGCTTTTATTCCCACAATGCACTGCCGAACTCTCTCTCTTTTTCTCGCAAGGCACACAGAGTGCAGGCAAACAAAACACAACCAACTGATCCAAAAAATTAAAAAAATTAAAAAATAAGCAAACCAACTCATGCTGTGATCATACCGTACCTTGGACCGTTTAATAGTCTGTGCTGATTGGATGAGCTGTTGGTAATCAGAAAAAAAGGGAGGAAAATGCACATTGTTTGTCATAAAGTATGAAATAGTGAAAAAAAAAAAATATTATAATATACATGCATACATAAAACCAATTAAAACATTTTTTTCAAAATTCTATTAAAGTTTATTTAAAAAATGTAATTAAAAATGTGCACCAGTGAAGCAGTTAATTGTGCAGGAGAGGAGAGAGAAATGAACAATGAGTGAGGAATAGAGCTGAGATCAGCATGTGTTTCAATGCACCTGGCCGCTGCCCTTTCTCAATGCACCAAGAGCAGATGGTGGCAAAGTCACACACGCACGCACGCTCATGCACCCTGAGGGTTTGCAGATAAACCAGCAGGATTCAGGTGCAGATTAACTGTCCTCCCTCTCTTTCCTGGCATTAGCCAATCACACGCCAGCTTGGATCCGATTTGCTGATTCTACTCATCTCGTTGTCTTATCTCTATCTTTAAGCAGAGACATTAGGATAATGGAAACCATGGCAACAGCATACCACCATCCCCCATAAGTCATTAGCGAGAGGCTACAATCTCATTTCCTGCTGACTTTAGACTACATTACCCAAAATGCACCACTTGAGGTGCTGTCACCAGGTTTACCTGAGTTTGATGGGAGGAACTTTGGTCTGTCACACACTCCTGGGCATGTGTGCCGTTGTTTTGGGGCGCGTGTTGGGGGTCGCTGAGGGTCGCGGGCGGTTCGGCCACGTGCGGCCCGTCACTCTCCAGAACCTTCATAATGTCACAACTTCTGGTGTCCAGCGAAGATTCAGACATTATCCTCAGAAGCAAGACCGAAAATCACCACCTATGAGATAAAAACACTGCTGATTTAGTTGACAGCTTAATGACGTTGATTTCAACTTGCGATGTCAAAATTACTGGTTCTGCATTTATGAATTGATGCAAAATTGTAAAAATGTAACGGGTTGGGTGAAATTACGAATTCTACAAGGCTTTAACTCATGATTATTAATGACTTCTGAAGCGGCTCTGTAACCTTCATGGAGTGTGCAGTCATGTAACCTAATTAATATCCATTTCCCATAGTAGTATTCATTAATTAGCCACCTGATTAAGTGCCTAATTATTATTATTTATTTATTTTTTTAGTCTCGGCCAATCAGTTAAGCCTACAGGCTAATGTGATTTTTTTTCATAGGTAAAGTGATTTTTTTCAAAGGTAAATTTGCACCTATATTTAATTTGATGTGAATAAAAATGAGGTTGCAAACTTAGTTTGCTCAATATGTCATACCAATTTTTTTCTGGATAGTTTTGGTAGGACTCAATTTGGTAAATAAGCGAAGGCTATGTATTTGAAGATCAAAAAGGTATATTATTAATAATGAGTATCAATAATGTCATGCTGACATTGAGTCATAACCATTTCTCGAATGCGCAGTCACAAACTCATTAAAGGGTTACTCCACCCCAAAATAAAAATGTTGTCATTAATCACTTACCCCCATGTCGTTCCAAACCCGTAAAAGCTTTGTTCGTCTTCGGAACACAATTTAAGATATTTTGGATGAAAACCGGGAGGCTTGTGACTGTCCCATTGACTGCCAAGTAAATAACACTGTCAAGGCCCAGAAAAGTATGAAAGACATCGTCAAAATAGTCCATCTGCCATCAGTGGTTCAATCTGAATTTTATGTACGCATACTTTTTGTACGCATACTGAATACATTTTGTACGCAAACAAAAATAACGACTTTATTCAACAATTCCGTCTCCTCCGCGTCACTGTAGCGCCATTTCAGAGAGTATCCACTGAACGCACATGGAACTGGAACGACATGGGGGAAAGTGATTAATGACAAAATTTTTATTTTGGGGTGGAGTAACCCTTTAATAATTATGATGAATTTATGAAGGCTTCACCACAGGATTCATAATTTTGCAATATACAGTGGGTACGGAAAGTATTCAGACCCCCTTAAATTTTTCACTCTTTGTTATATTGCAGCCATTTGCTAAAATCATTTAAGTTAATTTTTTTTCCTCATTAATGTACACACAGCACCCCATATTGACAGAAAAACACAGAATTGTTGACATTTTTGCAGATTAATATCAGCTCATAGATATTGATTAGTCACTGATTACTAACATTCACATGCCAAACCTCCTTCTTTGTACATTCATATTGAGATTCATTTGAAAAGCTATTGCTAAGGCTAGTCCAAAAAAAAAAAAAAAAATGCAGGAAACAAAGTACTGTAGGTTGACATCTAGAAATCACTGTTAGTTACATAACTACTGAAACATTTTCAGATGTTTTGGTTGAAAAAAAAATATATGCATTTACATAGTCCGTAACTATGAGTTCAGCAAGTTGCATAACTACTGAAGTTAAGCAAAATAGAATGCATTTCAGTAGTCTGTAACAGAAAGTTATGCAAGTTACGTAACTATTGAAATCTAGACACGCAAAAGATATATTTTTAAGCCATATTGTCAGATGTTTTGATTGAAAAAAAAAGCATTTACATAGTCTGTAACTATGTTACATGTTACGTAACTAGGTAGATATGCAAAAAAGAATGAATTTACGTAGTCTGTAAATACAAATTATGTAACCATTTAAACGTAGACACGCAAAAAAGAAAGAATTTACGTAGTCCGTTACTATAAGTTATGCGTTACATAACTATTTAAAGGTGGAAACGCAAAAGAATGAATTTACGTAGTCCGTAACTATAAGTTACGCGTTACATAACTATTTAAAGGTAGACATGCAAAAAAGAAATAATTGACATAGTCAGTTACTATAAGTTATGCGTTACATAACTATTTAAAGGTAGAAACGCAAAAGAGAATGAATTTACGTAGTCCGTAACCATAAGTTATGTGAGTTATGTAACTATTGAAAAGGAGATAAGCAAAAGAGAATGCATTTGTGTAGTCTGTAACTGTAAACTTGGCAAGTTACGTAACTATTGAAATGTATATTTACAAAAGAGAACGCATTTACTTTGTCCATAATAAGATACGCAAGTTACATAACTATTCAAATCTAGATACACAAAAGAGAATGATTTATGTAGTCTGTAACTATAAGTTACACAAGTTACGTGACTACTGAAATCTATACATATTTTAAGCATTATTTTCAGTTTTTTTAATATGCATTTACGTAGTCTGTAACGATGAGTTACACAAGTTACGTAACTATTGAAATATAGATATGCAAAAGAGAATGCATTTATGTAGTCTGTAACGATGAGTCACGCAAGTTACGTAACTATTGAAATCTAGATCCGCAAAAGAGAACTGGGAACTTCTATCCTTCTATTCCTCCTTTTTTCATGATAAAACCAAAACGTATTCGCATTTATAAAATGACATCAGTACCAAAGAGATTGTGTTTACCGGCTGTGCTGTTTTCAGGACTGGGCTGGAACCTTAGGGAGCGTAGGACCCTGGGGCCTCTGGAGGCAGCGGGGCGGACTGAGAGACGGACAGGTGGCAGCAGCAGTCCCATGACCCCCGTCAAAAGAACTCTGGTCGGGTCGCCAAACCACGGCTCACACACATGCTCCACATCACCCTCGGACACCTGTCACACACACACAAGGACAGAGGGTCAGGGGTCAAATACGGCGAGGTCAAGAGGTCAGGGACGCATGGATACAGTAGTGTCCGTAAGGGAGAACTGAACTCGTTTGATGGAAAGTCTGGAAGGTCTTTCGGGAGCAAAAGCACTGCAGCACTTCTGAAAAAGTGTCAGGGTGGTGACATGAATATGGAGAACAGACTGTGCTGCAGAGAGACAGGAACATACACAGAGAGGAAGTCATGTTTAACGCTGAACCTTCGACGCATTATAAGCATTTCAATGAGCTATCATGAATACGAAAGCCGATAATATGACTCCACCCTCAATTTATAAATATTTTGTGTTGATTTAAATACAATAATAGCTGTTTTTTTGACAACTGGCTCAATTCAGAATGACTAGGTTTAGCTCACGCATATTAATTGGGTCTTGCTGATGTTGCATCTTTAGCCTTCCTTCTGAGTACAAAATATTTAATTAGCAAATTTCTTGAGTCAAGAACTCTCCATCTTCAGAAATTTGTATCTGCTGTCTGCATTGCTAACGTACCACCCCCCCTCCCAAGAAAAAAAAAAACAATTAAAGAGGCTTTAAACAGATTGTGTTTTTTTTTTATTTAATATTTTTTTAAGATTCTACTTAGGCTTAATTCAATTTTTTGTATTTTTAGCTTTTTTTTTTTTTAAGCATTTTTAGTGCTTCAATTAATTTCAGTTTGCTGCCAACATTTCTAGTTTCATTTAAAGGGATAGTTCACCCAAAAATGAAAATTCTGTCATTAATTACTCACCCTCATATCGTTTCAAACCCGTAAGACCTTCGTTCATCTTTGGAACACAAATTAATATATTTTTGATGGCATCTGAGAGCTGTCTGACCCTGCATAGACAGTAACACAACTGAAATGTTCCCAAGTCCAGAGACATAGCAAGGAGAACTGTAAAATAATCCATGTGACATCAGGGGTTCAACCATAATTTTATGAAGCTACTAGGATACTTTGTGCGCAAAAGGAAAAAAAAAAAAAGACTTTATTCAACAATTCGTCTCCTCCGCGTAAATCCCCCTTTAGCGCCATTTTGGAGAGTATCAGCTGGACGCAAACAGCGTATGCTGTTCTGTGTCAGCTGCGTCACACAGGATCTGTTTCCTATGTTGTTGTGATTTGATCTGAACGGAAACAACATATCCGTGTGACGCAGCTGACACAGAACAGCATACGCTGTTCACGTCCAGCTGATACTCTCCAAAATGGCGCTAAGGTGACGCGGAGGAGCCGAATTGTTGAATAAAGTCGTTGTTTTTTTTTCTTTTGCGCACAAAAAGTATTCTTTAATCTAATATTTATATTTGATTTTATTTCAGATTCATTTCAATTAACAAAAATGTTTTTAATAGTTTTCGATAATGACAACAACCCTGATGCCAACTCAAAACAGATGACCAAATTACTAATCCTACCGATTTAGTTCTGTTAAATTATGTAAAAATAATGAATACTTTAAATTTTCATTTTAGTTAAATTTTTAGTAATTTTGTTATGTGCCTTTGCTATTTGTATTATGTTAATATTTGTATTTTGGTTTAATTAAATTAAATATTTTATTTTAATTTCCAGTTAGCAATTTTAGTGCTTTAATTAATTTCAATTAGTTGGCAACATCTCTAATTTTCATTTAAGTTTTATACTTTTATTTTACCTTTATTTTAATGTTTTCAATAGATTCAGGTAATGATAAATCAATACAGAAGACCAAATTACTAGTCCTACTGATTTAATTCATTAAAATTACTTGAAAATAATGAATATTCATAAGTTGTTTGGCAACATCTCTAATTTTCATTTAAGTTTTATACTTTTATTTTATTTTACCTTTATTTTAATGTTTTCAATAGATTCAGGTAATGATAAATCAATACAGAAGACCAAATTACTAGTCCTACTGATTTAATTCATTAAAATTACTTGAAAATAATGAATATTCATAAGTTGTTTCATAACCTTCCTATCATTCAAGCTTGTGTCCGAATGAACTGAACATATGGGCCAGTGTTCACCTGGGTATCAATGACCCATCAACCCACTCTATATCTCGAGGTCAAACGGGCCTAACCTGACTCGGTAATCCTGCAAAGTACGCCAACTGGGGCCGAATACACCGTCCAATCTGAGTCCAGCTAGAGATTCATGTTACTAAAACCACCAGAGGAGACGCATAGTGACACACACACTGATCAAAATTCAAGGGATTAGCATCGCGCGCAATATGACAATAACATAGGTGGTGGCAATGACAAGAACAGGTGGGTACGACCACACGCGTGCACACAAACACACAAGCTGTCATCCAAACAGCCAGACTGATCCAAGACCGTGCCATTACTTTTCCATGAGTATTTGCGCACAGGTCACTGGCATTATCCCACATCACTGCAGGAAGTATGCGTCTCTTCATCTACTTTGGGCTCAAGAGCCGTTCCAGGTCGCGGGGACAATGGGCGGCACAATTGCACATCAAGTGACGCTCTCAAGGACAATTATGACTTATGAGAGCGCATTTCCACCCACACACGGATGGAAACACCAACAGTTGGCAGGAAATACGCGAGCACTATTCATAAATATCCGAGCATCTCTCTTGCTGCGGGCTAATCTCGATGTTGCCATATCTTTTTCTCCGTTTATGTCTAGGTGAAGTGAAAATCTGAATCTGCATTTCAAAATACGCCCTCCACCGCAACTACCCTCCCCTCCTGCTCGCACAACAGTTTTCGCTCCATATTCAATAAGTTCGTCCAAGCATCACTAGAGAGAAAAGATTCCCCGCAGACCTCGACAGCTGTATATTTTCACAAACATGACAGTACAGATGTCCGAGTTTGACGCTGGAGGATATAAAAAAATTAAAAACGGGAAAATCAACCACTGCAGAAACACACAAATACTCTGGCTGCATCTCAAAAACGACTGCATTTCCAAGCATTTCTATTTGAATGACCACCCAAATAACGTGTAACGCCCAAAAATGATGTCTTGGTAGTATGATATCTAGACTAAGTATAGTGACAAAAGGTGCCCAAAAATGCCCATAAATGCTCTCTAGATAGGCAGCTCAGTAGGTACAAAGCCCCCAAAAAAACAATCAAGATATTCTTCTAACAAGGTAAAATACTCAATACTGCGGTTTAGATAGGAACCTTACATAATTTCCAAGGTATGATGCCCAAAAATCTTGTGTTAGGCTGCTCACTAGGTCGAGGTGTCGACAACGCTGTCTATAAAGACAGCTAAGCTTTCAGGGTCTTACACCTCATAATGTTATTTAGTATGGGAACGATGCCCAAAATTGCTGTCTAGAAAGGTAGCACACAAAGTACGATGCCCATCAAAGCCATCTAGGTAGGCAGCCCACTAGATTATGTAGGCTATAACTCTCACTAGGTTTGATGGCAAAACATGCGGCGTAGGTAGGAAGCTCATTTGGAACAATGCCCAAAAATGCTGTCTAAGAAGGTAGCACACTACGTATGATGCACACAATTGTTGTCTAGGCAAACACTTAATACGATTTTGATGCATGAAAATGCAGTCTAGATAGGCGGCTCAATAGGTTTAATGCCCTAAAATGCATCTAGGAAATCAGTTTGCTACATATGATGGCCAAAAAAGCTGTCTGGGTAGGCGTATAACAAGTTTTTACATTTACTGTATGCATTAAGCAGACGAAAATGATGCCCAAAACTTCTACTTAGGCAGCTCAAATTGTATAATGTCCTAAATGCATCTAGAAAGGCAGTTCACAAGGTATAATGCCCAAAAATGCTGTCTAGGAAGGTAACACACTAAGTATAATGGATGATTGCTGTCTGGCCAATCAGTTAATAAGCTTTTGATGTCTGAAATGCAGTCTAGGTAGGCGGCTCAATATGTATAATGCATCTAAGAAACCAGCTCACTAGATTTGATGGCCATGAATGCGGTCTCGGTGGGCGTATAACAAGCTTTTACATTTATATTTATGCATTAAGCAGACGAAAATGATGCCCAAAACTGCTACTTAGGCAGCTCAAACAGTATAATGCCCAAAAATGCTGTCTAAGAAGGTAGCACACTAACTATGATGCACACATATGCTGTCTAGGCAAACATTTAACATGCTTTTGACTCCCAAAAATGCAGTCTATGTACACAGCTCACTAGGTGCAATGCCCAGAAATGCTGTCAAGGTAGTTTACTGGGTTTTGAGATTCAATTCTGGGATGGACACACAGACTTTGAGCAGAAAAAAATGAAAACACCAGTCCACAAACAAACATTGCTTTTGTTTTATTGTTTTACTTTCTTTCGTTTTATTATATCTCAATCAAACCACTAAAACAAACAAAAGACAAAAAACAGACAATACATGAAAAGTAAACGAAAAAAGACAAAGGCCACAACTTTTTAACCTTTTCACAAAAATGTATGCAACATTCATTATCCTGCTCTAAGCATGTTGTCCAAGACAATAAAGCCCATCTGTGGTTTCCCATTAGCAATTATTAATCACCATATTTCAGGAAGCAACGAGCACTTACCCTCCTGACAAAAGAAGCGCAACACCGCGCCGGGCTCCAGGCTACACGTATTTCACTTCACCCCTGTTTTAGACTAACATGCAAATGGCCCATATTTCTCGATAAAAGCATCGCTAATGGTTTTCCCTCCTTTCCCCCCCCCTCCCGCCACAATCCGTATTCTCAGTGTGTGGCCGCTGTCACAGTCGAGCTATTCTTCTCCTCTCCTCTCTTCATCAGTTCATTTACACGATTCGCCACATTAACGATATTAGCCGGGCTGCCTTCGGCTGTAATTTACACCCAGCTTTCTGCTGATAGCTGCCTCAGGCGCTTTTTTAAATTATAAAATAGAGCAATTACGAGAATGTCATTACAAAGTGTGCACACACACAAACAGGCACGGAGTGTAATATGCTGACATGCAAATTTAGTCGCATGGAATTTAACGTTAGCATGGAATAAATTAGCAGTAAAATGAATTTAGATTCTTTTATCATTTACGCTTTTGCATATAATTTGTGACTATATATATATTTAAAGACAAAGCTCAATTGTTGCAAATTTCTGAATTCTTAAGTGCCCTTGTTCATTGTAAAAAAAAAAAAATCTAAAGTGACCTTGTTCATTGTAAAACTATTCAGTTAAAGTATTTACTACTTTACGAATTTTTTATTTTTTACATTAGCCACAGTTAAAACAAGCAAGAAAAAACGTCAGCATACAAATCAAAATGTCCAAGACTTCACACGCACACACCTGCCTGGCGTTCATGATCCGCTGCTCGGCTCACATCATTAGTTTCCATGGCAGCCCGAGTGCCATCAAACGGAGCGCGCTCAGTGCAGCTCTGCTCTCCTCCGTCTGAGCGCGGAGCGTACGCGTACATGCCCAAAGCCATCGCTGCCGCAATCCTTCCTGATTCTCCTCTCTCTCTCTCTCATGCACACACACTCTCCGCCAAATCAACAGCTGGCCTTTGTGATGTCATCCCTCCCCTGGCCAATCAGAGCGCCCTGAGGGCTGGGTGCAGTATGTCAGCGCTAAGCAGGGCTCCACCCTCGAGAGCCAATCAGATGGCCCCTGTGGACCGGAGAGAGAGGCAGACGGCAAAGAGACACACACACACACACACACGACCAACTGTGGCGAAGTGCCACTGTGGGACAGTCTGTCAGGGTAGGAGCACGCCAACACTGCAAATCCACCTTATTCGGTTGCAAGTAAGCTACCCGTCGAACCCAGTGCCGCAGTCGCACACACGCCCTGCTTAAAAGTGATGTCCCTTTGTGCCTCGTGCTCTTAAAAAAAAACTCCAGATTTCTGCGAATGAAAAATACCTTAAGTTAATTGGAGGGAGGTTAGGTAGACGCCCAGGTTTAACTAGCGAGCGCCTTTACCATTGCTGACTGACGCAGGCAGGTGAGGTCATTGGGAAAAGTGGGTCACGGAAAACGGTTTGCGCATTACTGACGAAATGTAGCCAAAAAACAAATGACAGACAGAAAAGTAGATTTGAATATGAACAAAACTATGGAAAACCAAACGTGCTTTCAGACCAAACAATTTCCAGACAAAACTAACAAAATTCATTAGATAGGGAGCTCACAAGGTTTGATGCTCAAAAATGCTGTCTAGATGGGGAGCTAAATATATTTCATGCTCAAACATCGTCTTTAGATAGAAAGCTAGCCAGATAAAATGACCAGAAACACGGTTTAGGTAAGCAGTTCACTAGGATTGATGCTCAAAAACGCTATCTAGATCACTTCTTTTGATGCTCAACAACGCGTTCTAGTGGGCTAACTAGGTAAAATTGCCAGAAACGCTGTCTTGAAAAGGAATTAGCCTAAGTAGGTAAAATGCAAAAAAACACTATTTATGTAGACGGCTCACTAGGTTTAATGCTCAAAAATGCTGTCTAGATAGGGAGCCAAGTAAATAAAATGTCAAGAAACACTGTTTATTGTTTAATGCCCAAATTTCAGTCTACTTAAGCGGCTCACGGAGTATAACACCAAAAATGCTGTCTAGATAGAGTGCTCACTAGGTTTTATGCCCCAAAATGCTGTCTAGATAGGGACCTCACTTATTTTGATCCCCAAAAATTCTGTCTAGAAAGGGAGCCAAGTAAGTACAATGCCAAGAAACACCATTTATGCAAGTGGCTCACTAGGTTTGATGCCCAGAAATGCTGTCTAGATAGACAGCCTACAAAGTATGACGTTTAAAAAATGCAGTATAAGTAGGCAATTCACAAGATTTGATTCCCAAAAACAGGTGTCTAGGTAGTCAGCTTTCCTGTGTGATGCTCAAAACGCTGTGTAGGTAGGAAGCCCAATATGTTCGATTTCCAAAATGTCATCAAGGTAGGTAGGCACGATGCTCAAAACCGCATCTATGTAGGCAATTCAAAGCCAACACGCTTCCAGACTAAACAATATATCCAGACAAAACTACAAATTAACAAACAATCATCATCTTGACGTGACTGTGACTGACTGCGCTGACAACTACCACCGTTTTCGCTGTAGAGAAAGGAAGAAAGTCGACACTGACAGTTGCACAAAGCCAGTCAAGTTCAAGTAAAACTCCCCATTCACCGAGCAGCTCTTTTCAGTGAAAGAGAAAATCTGCAAAAATTCCAGCTAAACGGTGCATTACATGTGTCTCATTTGCATAACAAAAGACCGGGGGGGGGTTCATTAACACAAAAGTCGCTCTAAATTCACTATGTTTTGGGTGAACAGGGCACACAGGGTGAAAAGGTATTGTTCAAGATGATAACTTATGTTGCTAAAAACTTATCAAAGTGCTTATGGGCTCTTTTGGACACCAATTCAACTACATATCACTGCACACTCTTTAACACAAATGCCCGTTTCTAAATTTACAGAATTTTAATGGGTGAACAGGGCACACATGGTGAAAAGGTAACATTCAAGACTAGAAGCAATTTTTGGCCATAAGCATAGGATGATTTATCCCTCATTTTGTTCATATTGACTACTCAAGTACAGGACAGAAAAAAGTGCTCGAGCACCCGAGGTGGGTTATTTTTAATTTCTTGTCTATGTACGTATGCGTCAGATGGACATCTTTGGCCGTTGCATTGTTTCTCATGGCTTTTTAGAGACACACAGCAAAGATGTCATGTTTTTAAAAAGGTGTAAAGTAAAAAAAAAAAAAAAAACATGCCTCTCAATACCCTGTATTCTGTTGCTTTTGGATGCACAATGACTAGCTTAAACACAAAAACGCGTCAAGTGTAAATGCCCTTTAATCCTCTCCAAAAAAGAAAGTCACCACATAAATACTTCCTGTCCAAACTCTAAGGATCTCTACATATAAGGTAATGTAAGCAATCACAATGTTAAATCAAACCGAAGATCCTGCTCTACATTCATGGCACCTATTGGGTGAACAGGGAGCACAAGGTGAACAGGCAACAATCAAGACTATAACAAATATTTTGTCAAAAGCATAACCAGATGCCTCTGACCTAGTTTGGACACCAGTTCAGCTGCATATCACAGCACTAGTTGTACTTCTTAAACTAGAAGGTCATGTTCTAGATTCACTGTGCGTACTGGGTGAAAAGGGCACATATGGTGAACACGTAACATTCACAATGACATACAAAAATGTTAAAAAAAAATGATTTTGATCTTCTTTGGACACCATTTCAAATACATTTCATACTACTAGTTTAATTTTGTAAACGAAAATGGCAATATTGGTTGAACAGAGAGCACAATCACCTACTAGGCAAGAAGTCATTAAATAAAAGTCATCTCATTGTCTATAACGAATGCGGTGCAGCAGAATGAAGTGATACTCAGGTGAAAGGGGGATGGGGGCGCACAGGTGAGAATCCTCCTGTGGTGATGCAGATGAGCTTGTACGAACAGAAGCTCGTGGATCATTCCTTACCGCAGCGCCTCTCGCGCACGAACATTAATATTCGGCATGACAGAAACAGGCCGGTGGCACAGGAAACCAGGACGCCTAACAATACACCGCATGAGTGTTTAAAAATACATATAAATAAAATAACAACAGCTGAACATCGCAAGGTCAAAAAGAACCCCAGTGCGAGACTATGCATCATGTCAGCGCTTTACAAAATAAATTAAGTTCACGTACCAGAAACAGATTATAAAATATATATATATGAATTATTAAAGATCTGGATTGCAAAAGCAAAACGTTGCCGATTATAATATCTGTGATATCACTGACGTGACCTTGAGTTGGACACAAAAGGGAACCAAATGTCACTGTAATTAATCTGAATCTGGAATGATTAAAAAGCATCTTGGTGACTAAACTAAATAATTTCATGCCAAATATATAATAAGATGGAAAAAACAGAGCAAAAGTTGACGTAAGAAAGCAGCCCAAAACCAAACACATTTTACTATAAAATATTTATAACTATTCATGTAGCAAATGCTTAAGCGAGCTGGAAAAAAAAAACAGACAAAAAAAACAGCTCACTAGGTTTGATGTGCAAAAATGCAGTCAAAAATGCTCACCACGTGTGACACCAAAAAACTCTGTCTAGATAGGCAGCTCACAAGAGGTTATGCCTAAAACTGAAGTCAAGGTAGTAGGCATCTCGCCAAGTACGACACCAAAAAATGCAATTTAGGAAATGTGGACAATCAAAAGCAGCCTAAAATCAGACACATTTTACTATAAAAATTTACAATTATTCATTTAGTAATGTAGAAACAAAGAAAAAAAAATAAAAATCGCAAAACATTTCAATGGTAGATGTGAAGTTGGCATGCAACGATCTAGAAATGTACAGCCAATATGGATCATTTTATTAGTATATCTATTTTTTTATTCATATATATTTTAAATCTATACTGTTTAGTTTACTTTTTTGAAAAAGTGTTCAAAAATTGAAGAGTCAATCTGGAAATTAGGAATCATTTAAAATACCACTGTACCAGACTGTTCCTGCAGTTTATAGTATGTAGGCTATATTATGCATAGTATGCTAATTTTTTATGCAAATGTAGCATTTTTATCGTTACATAATGAGTGCAGTGTTTGCATAAAATATTCAAATACAATTTAAAAAATCAAAGTTGTAAATAAAACTGATTATTGGAGTATGTTTTATATAAAAATACTATTTCAGTCTTTCGACTTCAAAATTTCAAGTTTAATTCAATATGTTACTTTATTTCTGAGTTAAACACCAATTTTTCAGTAGTATGTAACCATTACCATTATAATGTAAAAAAAAAAAAAAAAAAGATTAATAATTGCTAAGTTTGGAATCTGCCATTGAAAACTGAAAAAAAAAAAAAGAGTAGATATCGAGGTTTAAAAAACAAGTATGGTTATGGTTTAATTCAATGTTTTACATACCATTTCTTTATAATTACTTGTGAAATTTACTAGTAATTTCTGAGTTAAAATGGTTTCTAAATCAACGTTTTTCAGTCTATATACTGAGCAGTATGTAGCCATTATAATATGGAGCAAAATAATAATATTAATAATTGCTAAGTTTGAAATCTGCCATATAAATCTAATATCGGGTTTTAAAAACAACTATATGGTTTCCGATACATTTCACATTCCGAAGCAAAACCTCAAAAAGGGTGTAAATAAACAAGTTAATTAAGTTTGGTAAGTAAATATAACATTTAATACAAAAAAAAATAAAATAAAAATTGTTTTAAAACAAAAACACACTTATTGTCTTGACACATCTCCTCCTGGTGGTTTAATCACCTGCACAGGCCCTTATGAATGAAGCCTGGAGCTCCGTCAACCTACGAAGATCAACCCTAAATCTACAAAAACACATCAGTGCTGCAGCTAGATGAAATAATAATAAATAAAACACATTAAAGCATGAACATATCTGTGATTTATACACCTGCATGTTTATTTACTCTTCATGTGTCTGATCTCTCCTTGGCCCTGGTATGCAAGATCATTTATCACATTTACTTCAAATATATGAAAAGCAAAACACACAGACTGTTTATAAAACACTCTTTGAGACTAAAGACACATTGTCAGTCATCTGAGGCTGGTGTT